CGGAGGGTTCTGGTGTGTGGTTGGCTGGTTAAAAGGGTGTGAACCCGCGGAGGAGATTCCTGGGCGCTTGAGTCAACAGCAGCTGTGGTTGGTGATGAAGGGAAGCTGTCCAAAGAGGCTTTTTACCAGCAAGTGCCTTTTCAATGTGAAAGGAGGCACTCAGGTGAATGGAGTCAGTGACCATGAAGGGCTCACACACACACACACACACACAATCATACCTGGGAAAAACCAAACAAAAAACATGCACACATCTGCTCATGGAAACCTGAACGATACCTGCACTCATCTGGACAACAGACTGACACAGTTTGGTCCAGTTCGTACACAACATGTGCACACAGCTACTCGTGGAAATTTGCACACAGATGCGCAAACACAAAAGTGCAGATGCGTGCACTGCACACACGCATGCACACACACTCACAGATGGGAACAACACAGACACCTGGCTGGCATTGAAGCGCTGTTCTGTTTGCATACCTCTCCCTCTCTAATCATCCTCCACACAGCCACAAAGCCACCATTAAAACTAGGAAAACAAAAACACAAAAAGGGGGCAACAGGCGGCTTCCATCCTTCTTCCACCCGTTCCCTCCCTTTCCACCTTTCCACCCTTTCTCTGTCTCTCTCTCTCTCTCTGTGTACCAAATGTTTACCTCCTCCCCCCATGAAAAGAGAGGGATGTGGACAGACAGGGTGAGAAAAGAAAGAAATCTGGCTGAGGGGAAGGGAGCCAAGGCCTTTAAAGTCTGCCACAGAGCCGTGACAAAAGCCTCCTAATCTCGGTGTTGTCTTTCGGCCCCTTTTTCTCCACTGCACATCCTGCCAAGTTTGTGTCTGTGTGTGTGTGTGTGTGTGTGTGTGTGTGTGTGTGTGTGTGTGCGCGAGAGAGAGAGTCAAAGAGGGGAAGAAACCAACAGCGAGCGTGTTATGCAAGCAAGAGTGTGTGTGTGTGTGTGTGTTTGTTTAAGAGAGTAGTAAAATGGCAAGGTGGTGTGTAAAAACAGATTGTGTCTGATAAGGAAGTGGTGTGTGTGTGTGTGTGTGTGTGTGTGTGCGCGCGCACATGTGTTTGTGTGTATGACAGGAAAGGAATCTTTCCACAGTGGTGCTGACATCACTCAAGCATACGCAGGACAGTTGGAGGAGGCCCCTTCTCAAAGACAACAGCCCGCCTGCCTTCACATGTGGGATGCCTGTTTGTCTGTTGAAGAATATACGAGTGGTCGAGGTCACCAGCCCTCACCTGTTCCTCTCTGACTCATAAACTGCCCCTATTCAACTCTCTTCCGCCGCCGAAATGCTACAAAACAGCCCGTAGGTGTGCGCGTGCAACAGTTCCTCCACCTCATCCTTTTCACCCTCGACAAAAGAAGAAGATGTGAATAGAGATGTGTTTGTGTTTTTGAATTACTCGTGTTGCGTGGGCGGAAATCTGTTTGCAAAGTGACACTGTGGGGACTTTTGAGGACACAAAGCAAGTCTTCATAATGTAAATCATTAGAGTAAGGCAAGTAGTGGTTAGGGTATGTCCCCAGGAAATGAATGTAAGTCGATGTAATGTCCTCTGCATTGATGGAAGCCCGACTGTATGTGTGTGTGTGTGTGTGTGTGTGTTTGCATGCTCGTGTGTGAGTGACCTCCTGAGCGTCTCTTCCTCCTCCTGCAGATCTCTATCTGTGGCAGCTGTGGTCCACAGACCTTCACACTCAGCAGAGGAATGCACACTGGAGCCGTCAAAATATACACAAGGCTGAGATGGGCTACAGTGCCATCTACAGGCTGATCGATTTACTGTCAAAGTCCAATATTTGATCAATGAGATTCCCTTTTGCAATCTAATAAAGGAAATCTTCATCTACTTTGTGTAAACGTTCAGCCTTTCGGTTGAAACTTGGCTTTCAGCATCTTGTTCAAGGGCACTTGTGTACAACAGGAGCTGAGGATCAGACCGCTCTGTAATTATCACCCTATGATTAGTGGATGTCCCGTTCTACTTTGTGATCTACTGCCAAAATAAACCACACTATTGAATAAATGAAAATGTTGACCTCGTGAAAACACTAGATGAAAAGTTATTCCGAACACCAACAATCCCCTGAGGGGAACTTAACTTTGTTAGTCAGCTGTCTTGGCAATCAATTGCCCTGTCATGCCTGGAGCCACGAGCTAAGCTAAATATAATCAAACCGATTGAGAACAATGAATTGTGTTCCGCTTGTATACCTCAGACAAATACATTTAGATCAAAGATGACTTTTGCGCTGAATCAACATTTCAGATATGGATTTTTTTTTTTTTTTTTTTGTGGGTAATGTTTGATGTTAACCTCTGGTTCCCAGCATGGTAACCAGCATGTCCCTCTGGTCACTGCTGGAGACACAATGTGGGGGTTGCACAACTCTAAACCAGTAGAACCTCATGTGAAGGCAGTACACATTTTGTGATGGATCTTTAAATGGAACAAAACTAAAGCTGCAGTCGGCATAAATCTAGACAAAAGCTCTTCCCTCTCTGTTATAAAACCCTCCAATCACAGGATTTGAATCCCGATGCCTCAGTGAAAGTCCATCTAATGCCGTTGTTCTACCTGAACGGTTCGGGTCCACATGGCGTAAATTCCATAAATCTCACGTCGTCTTTGAGGGCGTCTATAACTCGTCTGTGCAGCAACTATGCTACAGGAGCAACAGTCCACATGCTCGGCAGTAGTGTGCATGCACAGAATACATAGATAAAGATACTTGTGCACCAAAGGAGAGCAGTCCTCCAAACAGACTCCAGCAGAATGGAAAAGTAGTACAACAGCAACAACTGTGCATTTATGGCGTTTACAGCTGTCCTTGAGCAAGTCCACAAGGGAGTATGATCAAGACTTAACCCGTTTCACCATCACAGCCTTCCCTCACAACAGACTTTGTTGCTATTTATACAAATATCTGATTGATGAATAGATCTGTGACTGGATAAATTCTTCCATCATGAGCTAGATTTTAGTCTAAGAAGTCTAAAGACAGAGCCAAGGGGAGGTGCAGAAGTCTAGTTAGTATAGCACTTTTTCCACAAAAAAATACTGCCTAACCTCGCTTTATTAGTAAATATACAGGATGTCATTGGCTTAAAATACTTAAAATACTCAAATAGCTTTGGTTTCAGGGTATAAGCGTACAATTTTGAAATAATCCCCTTGTGACCTTTTTGGGGTGCAATTTAAACAAAACATCTACTTTAGTCTTCTTCCATTTTTTTTTTCTTTCACCCTAAATGTTAAACACTAAAGGTGATGGGGATGACAGATTACACTCTGTAGGCCTACACTGGAACACTTTCAGGGCACCTCAGAAAGACAAATAGCTCCAGTGTGAAATCATTTAGTTCATGTCGTGTCTTGCCTGGAGGGGATTACACTTACAGCACCAAAGGTACAAGACTGAAATACTGAGTGACAAAGTGTGAAATCTGGATCAGATTAAGTGAGAAGCTTCTCGCTCATACACACAAACAGAAAAGATGAAGATAGAGAGGCCGAAAGAGAGAGAGAGAGAGATGGAGGGAGGGGTGGACAAGCTGTGGGAACACGCTGCTGAATAATTACCACTGACATCAGAATAGTTTTCTTTAGCTCTCTGAAGTGGCAGAGCTCATTTGTACAGCCTGAAGCCATGCAGAGGTGTGTGTGAACGAGTGTGTGTGTGTGTGAAAGAGAAAGTAAGAAGGAAGAGGAATAAAAAAACACACCTTTGTAGCTAAAAGCTGTAGTTGTTTCAAACTTAGAAAAAAAACCAAAAGCAAATCCATTCTTACTGTAATTGTGAGAAATAAAGCACAACTGATCAACCATTGTGTGTGTGAGTGTGTGCGTGCATAAGGGAGAGATTATTCTGATTTAGTCATAGCCCTGTCAATGTGTGACACCATGACAGCTTTGTCTGCCCCGGGGAGCCGTTTCTCTCTAAGTGGACCTTAAAAAACAGGAAACGACTTCAAATCCCACTAGAGCGCAGAAGAGGATCAGGCCTACTGACTCTGTACAATACACATAGCGTGCGCAAGTCCAGAACACACACACACACACACACACACACACACACACAGTCACACCTGAGCCCTCTTGAATAGACACCATTCACCACCCTGACAAGCAGGGACAATAGGAGCCAAAACTCCGGTCTGCATAGAAAGAATCGACCTGTCTGAACACATCAGGCGTCGCCACCACCCGCTTCACCGCATGAGCTTTTCCTTTCCGCGATGACTTCAGGTGATATCGTGTTTCTATATGGATACACTTTTCTTTGCCTTCACATGCAGCTGTTTTGTAACATATTTGAGGGTGAAGTCCCAAGTCATGTTACCATCCATCAGTGGAAACTACTGTGGAGGATCTATATTGCAGTAAAAACTTGATGTCACTGCAGAACTAATCTCTCAACATTTAAGTACAGTCTTGTAGAATCCAGTAAAATGAGGCAAACACCATAATCCACAGTTTATCTTTGTAAATTGAACAGGTGCCGGTGCAGCGAATGTCACGTCAGATTGTGCCTTTAAGCTAAAAGCTCGCAAAGCTTTGTGGGTTGAGGCCTGTAGGTTTCTCTGTTGGATTACTGAAAGTCATTTTCATGAATAACCTGACCTTTGACTACATACCAACACAGAAATAAGCATACCAGAATGCAACACGATTAGTACGGTGGCAGCTCAGCCTGAGCCGGAACCCGTTTGAGACCATAAAGATTCTGTTTCATTGCACAACAACAGTGTCGTTATTTTATCACTTTAATTGATTGGTGGACTGAAAAAAGGCAATATAATAACTGTATTTTGGGGGTTTAGTCATCAACATACATGACAATACATCTCGGCTAGAGGTCGAGCTGAATACATTTAATTATATCTGTGAATCAAGGGGGTTTAAAACCAACACACAAAGTCACTGGTGACTCATTTCAGGCTGTGAGAAACATAAATACCTCAATACAGACGTCAGCTGCCAGGTGCATTTCCTCTAGATCGCATGACAGTTTGTGTGTGTTTGTTAAGGAGGAGTGCGGTCCAGGGAGGACATGGAGTGTCTGAAGGAGGATGCAAGATTGAAGATGGGAGACTTGTATCCAGAACTCTGGCTGCGGGACATGTCGGGGGTCAAAGGCGCTCCTTGAAAACGACTGAAAGAGGAGAGGAGGGGAAGATTGTTACCACATTTTTACAGTGAGCAACACGACTGACTAATGAGAACAAGCACGATAAACAACCCGACATGTTCCCAGAATGTGAACGCACATCCGAGACTTTGGCTGCAATCAGCTCTCGAAAGGTTTCTCTTGAAATAATACCAAAAAGAAGTCAATAAAACTATTTTTGGAGGAAAAGCTACTGTATGCATACTTCTGAAATTTTACATATAGCACACAGGACACCACTGAGGACTCTATTTCAGATTTGATGCTTATTCTCATTAAAAGCTACATAGTGCAAGAAAAGTACATCAAAAATGTAGTAATTTAGGACAACACAAATGCACACACATAGGATCCTGTTTGTCTTAGTGTGAATGTGGAGCTAAAACAAGTACAACTGAAATAAGGAACTCCTCTGCATTCGTTACTATGATACATGCTTCTTAAATATCTTAAATTTAATTATATTTGGACATCATGCACACTGTAAAATAGAATAAGCAATACCAAGCTAGCTGGTCATTTTTTTCCAGATATAAAAGACTGAATTTATACACAAAAAGCAAAAGAAAAGCGGGGGAAAGTACATCAAAAGTCAAAAATGTTGTAGTAATTTAGGACATAATGGATACAGACACAGGATCTTGTTAGTCTCACATTCAAAGAAGCTGCTTGTAGCGTTAACATGGAGCTAAAATGAGTAAAACTGGAATACACTAAGGAGTCATCTGCATGTTACTGTGATGCACACAGTGAATCAAACTGGTCACCTGACTGTGGCTGAGCGTGCTGAGTGCTTGGTTGACGGGTTTTGCCTGGACGATCTGTGAGGGACGCTTCCTAAACACAACACCAGATGAAACCCCCCCCAGTTAATCCTCGTGTCAGATCATACAGATAAAACAGCTTACAATGATTTTAAAAACGCATGACATATTCCTGGGTCATTATAGGCTTATGTGTCTCTCCTTTCCACCGCATGAGCTTACTGGATGTTATATTTGAAAAACCCCTCCAGGAGGACAAGATAAATGGGCGAGTCATCTTCCAGAGTAATTAGCATCTCACAACTTTCACTTCACACAATCTTATGCAGGGGTTGCTACCAAACAAGGCAAAACACCCACGGCATGTGCGCATGCCTCTGCTGCAGTTAGTGCTGTAATAAATGGCACATATGAGCGCTATCTTGGAATGACTATCAATCACATCAGCTGTGAAGCATTTCAGATAGTATAATCCATCTACTGCCTGTTTAAATATTATGATTCCCTCCTACAAAATATTTACTTGGCTAAACTCTCACGTAGATGTAGTAAGTACCTATGTAATCCCACAGTGATAGCAGTGATATGACTGTCACCTCCTTTATTCACCACAACACAGGTCAAATCCCTTAAGAGACTGGGAAGCTTAACCCTAATCAAAACAAAAGACAACATCTGTATCGCTTCAGTGATGTGGGTGGTCAACTTTTGGGCTCTTAAGCCAAAAACTTGCGAAATTGCTTTATATCCTGGTTAGCAGAATATGTCGGATTTTCTAAAGAACTTACACGGCTTGTGTACACTCTTATCAAGGGCTGGTGTCTGAGTTTATAATAGTCTTTGCACTGATGTATAGTTCTATGGCAGGCAGAGCAGAGCACATACCCATTCGTCCATCTTGAGGATTGATAAATGACAGCCTGGGGACAGAGCTCGGCTGAAAAGACAGCGTTACACAGAGAAACGGCACAAATCATCATGTTTTACTAGCTCGTGCGCTCAACACTTTCATTCCTCATGTGCTAAAGTCGTAAAGTAAATGTCAGGATGCTGTATAATCTTGACAGAACTCATTCATAACAAAGATTGAAGATTGAAGGTGAAATAATGGCACTTACTTTCCTGAACAGCCTCCTTTCATCCACCTCCGTGTTTTCAGAGCTGCCAGACAGGAAACCGCACTTCATTAGTTTTGTTGGGTTCAGTTGGCTGAACACTGCCGCCACATTTTATTTTTTTACCAACAAGCCAAATGTCTGTGTAAAAGCAACATTTATTGTTTTCAAAGAAAGATATCCACTTCATAAAACCATTGCATGTCCTTTTAAGGTGAGTGTGAAGTTGGTTTGCAGACGCTGCACAAAATTTTTCAAATTCACTTTGAAACAGAACATTAGTCAATAGTGAGAAGTTGCTGTGCTGGAATAAGGTACCTCTGAGCTTTAACATTGCATTTATGGATCCGAAATAATAAATAATATTAAAGATAGTTAAAGAAAAGCCGTGAAGCCAGTTGAGCAACACACACAAAAGCTTTATTAATTAATTGGTTTAACAAAAATAAATATTCTATAATATGGTTTTGTTCTAATAGAAAAATTGTCCAAAACTTTAGGCTTTCTAAAATGAAATTTTCTAATTTTATAAAGCTTTTAGATAACACCGCTCCAGCCATGTTGCACAGCAGCTTTGCATGGCGTTTTTCAGTGAATGACCTCCCGGTTCATTGTCCTTTTTTTGAATCAAAACAGAATTGACCCAGCAGCAAATGGGGTTAATATCCGCCATCCATCATCTATACTGTTTTCACTCGGTGGAACTATCTAAAGTCTCAGTGGATAAAACAACATTTGCACTATTAAACTCAGGCACCAATTTAATCCCGTGTCGGCGGTGTCTCGGAAACCCAATAGGGATTCCTGACTAAACCTAAGCAAAGATTGGCTTATTCAGGTGTGTGTGTGTGTGTGTGTGTGTGTGTGTGTGTGTGTGTGTGTGTGTGTGTGTGTAGATAGCCACGGGGCAGGGCAAAGCTACACAGCAGCTAAACCCAACATAAGACATCAGGGCTGAAGCCAGGATATAACTTGTTTGCACTGTGAAATACCTCCTACATTCTCTCTTTCTCTGAGGTATAGTGAGAGGTAACGAAGGGCAAAGAGGAAAAAAAACAGAGCATGAGGTGAGGTCAAGAGAGTGCAAATCAAGGACGGACAAAGAAAGACGGGGTTAATAGCATGAAGTAAAATAACGAAAGTTTTAATTCACAATGCTCACATATTAGTGGCTGAGGAGTGTCGTGACAGCGACACAGGGGAGGTATGTGGGATCTGTAGGACTAAAGGCAGACAAGAATCAGCAATGCATTAAAATATACTGAACACTATTAGTAACAGAGACATTAGTAGTTATACAGTAGATGTTCAGAGATGAAACGCTGAACTGGAGCAGCTATAAGAGTTTCTAGTCATAGAGTCATAAGAGTTTCTAGTCTTTCTGCAGGATGGTACTAGCTTTACCTTTTTTCCGCAACTAGAGTTTTTTAGAACAAGTAATTAGCAGTCTTGATTGGTCAGACCTTAATGTTGAATAAATAACAGTTTGGGAATGTAGTCTTTTCGTGGCACTTGTTGCGTCATATACTTCAGTGAGAGCAGCAGAAGTCTGGTCTATGTTGAAAGCCGCAAAATGCTTTTCCTGTTAACTTGGATTTGTCCCTTTTTGGTCACCACTCTTTAATCCAATTCAATTATGTTTCACCGATTAATGCAACATTATAGCACATTTACATTTGTTTTATTTGCTCCTATCACATTTTAAAGTTTTATTAAACTAATATAAAGAGTGTACTCACTGATGTTACACCACCTTCGATGTTTGATATCAACAGTGGTAAGATAATGGTATCTAGAATAATACTTTCTAGCTTTAGCAACATTGCACTTTAATATACTTTTTAAAAATGTTAATAGTATTAATAGTCTTTATCATTCCTATCAAAATTATCGCTGCAGAGAACATGTAACCCATGAACTAAATATGTGTGTATTGGTTACATGATACAACATTAATACAATAAAATTATAGAATGTGAATCGGAGCTCGTGTTATAATGATCAGGCGCCACACAGATCAATACCATCACCAGTACAACTGTGTCATAAAATCATGAGATGGTTTACCTAGCTTATGCCCATGAGGAGTATGGCAACTGTGGCTGATCTGGGGCACAGATGAAGCTTTTGCACTGAGTGAGAACAGTAAGAGAAAAAGTTAACCAGATGCAACGAAGCAGATCGTATTCACAGCCACATAGTTGTCGGTGTGAATCATGCAATGAGAGAGAGGGTGACAGCCCCTCTCCCCTCGAGATGAGCGCAGGACAAGTCCAGACAAATATTGCTTTATGAGAATATAGATCAAATTTATTTTGCTTGCGGTATGTGGACTTCTAGTAAATTATCTGTGAATGATGTCGAGTCGCCTTAATATAAACTGTAATACTTGTCGAAGTGATTATTTACATAACTATAAACAATCATTTTCAAAGCACTTTCACTTCACAAAATCTTTAAGAAAACCTTTCTGGTCTTTTAAAAAATATCTGTCCCCTTTGAGCTCATTCAGTCCTGGTTAGATTATATAACAGACCAGATGTGCGTGGATGTGCCAGGAGTGACACCTAGTGAATGAGTGGTGAAGCATAACAGCCAGCTGGTTGTAAATGGCTTTATATGCCAAAACGCTGCCAAACCTCAAAAAAGGAGCACAGCAGCATTTGATTTGAAATCATAACAGGTTTAACTGCCTCCTTATAACTTTATTTAGACTCTTTTTGCTCTTTTATGTCACAAGTATTGTGATCATTGATGCACAACTGTACAATACGACAGCTGATATTTTATGTCTAAATCCTGTGTGAATGAAGGATGCTAAAATATCTTTTAAAAAATGATCATAATGGGAAATTAAAATGAAACATCAGATAAATATTTTTTAGCCAAAAGGTTGGAAAATACCAACAGATTTCTCAGGATGAATTAGTTTGTGAAAAGACTAAAAGGCTGTCTACATACCAGACTAAAGGCCATTAAAGTCGTTGACTTGACAGCTACAGAATCAGTTTACTTTAGTTAATATCTATTCAGTGTTGTACCTCTGATGCTGGAGAGACTTTTCCAGCTTAGCAATGTAGGCGCTCTGTTCACTCAGCTTCCTTTAAATAGGAGAAAGTAAGATTTAAAAAAAAAAACCCTCCAAACTAGAAATATGTATGGAAATACATTATTAACAAATGGTGTAACTTACTTTGTCATTTGCTGCATTTCTTGCTTCATCTTGACTAATGTCTCCTCTTTCTGCTCATTCTGTAAATGGTAAAATGGTTAGTGGTACAGCAGGTGGGACTATATCATCAGTAGCGTTATATATCTGTTTTAGATGGCTCCGAGTAGCGCCAGAAACGAATGAAACCATAAATCTAGCATGGTTGGTGGGTTAACGGTTATAGCTAGGCAGGTTTATTAAATAGGATAATGTATTTTGCAATGGCATTAAAACTCATCACTCAAAATAGTCCATTACCTGGCAAATAAAGGAAAAAAAAAACATGCAAGCCAAAAAGCAGCAAAAATAAATGCACCTCACCCTTTGCTGGTAGTGAGTCAGCAGTCTCTTCTGATGTCTTGCCTGGAACGTCATAACCTGATTAAAGGGAAGAAACAGTGCTACGTATGTAAAGTCTGCAGGGCAATACATTCGTTACACATGCAAGTCTACAAAACAACCTTCAGAGCAAATCCGCTTCAACGGACGGCAGCAGATTGTTGTTAAGAGGTGGCGGCTGATTAAAGAACCGCTAATGGGAGAGTTTTAAATACTTTATGATGTGAAGCAAGAAATTGACCAAACTTTGTTGATTTCCGCCAAGTGTTGGGTCGCCACAGCGCTGATGTCAGAGAACAGGGCCTTCACTTCAGAGCTGCTCTGAAACAAAGACATTTCACATGAGCAGAATTTTTAAAACTATATTGGTCTATTTATAAAGTAATAAAGTGTGATATTATCTCATGCAGCCAGCCCACAGCCCCCTGAGGATGGTGTATAATGAGAAGAGGGGTACTTACTTTGTCAGAGAGTGGTGATACTTGGCATTTGGCGCTGCATATTAAACACTTGCCTTGCTTGCCTGAAGGAAAGATCGCAATTATACACAGCCAAAATGACAAAGTCAGGAATATAATGCATGTTTTTTGTTTTTTTTTTCCAGGTTCAGACTGAATAGAATACATGCTGAATCTGAATCCTTTGCATGGAATGACATAAAGAAAGGATCGCTCAAAGTGCTTTTGCCTGACAACCAAAACTAATTTATTGTCTGGGAGCCTGAGCAAGTTAAAGAGATTGAGATGGGCCTCGTCAGGAACAGGCCCCTGGCTCATGAATATGATCAGTGGCTCCCAAAGTGCCATGAAAGGACCTCCAGGAGTACTTGCGTGGGCACCATATCCAGCGTATGAATGGTGTAATTTTACTCTTATTTCATCTGAGTACACACCAAGAAGCACAGAGTGTCAGAGCACAACTGGATTTCAGTTCTCTTCTCTGTAGTGTAGCAGTGGCTAACCCAGACTGACAACTAATACTGGCTGATGGTTCACTCCCAGTGGAAACGCTTACTATATTCCTTTGTGTTTATTGAGAGGGTTCATGGAAAACATGTAGTGTCTGTTCAATCAGTGTGAAAGTGAATAACCAGCTCTGCAATATCACTTTAAGTCCAACAGAGGTCCCTGTCTAATCACGCTTTCACCTGCCTGAGCTGCAGGTATGCTGAAGGTGCTTAAATCCAAAGACTGCTAACAGTGATTGTTTTGACTGTGTGTTGTGACAAGAGTTGTTTATCTACCTTTCTGATAACAGACACTACAGATGATATGACCACAAGATGTGACAGCCAGTTTGCGGTCAGCACTGGGGGGACCAAAGCAAGAATTGCAGCAGACCCAGGAAGACATTTGAAGACCTGCAAGTACATCAGATTAGCTTGAAGTTAACCTGCTAACTGGCTTTGCTAACGCTGTTGCTACACTTGTTGAGCTAAGTGGTATTGCAGCTCACATTCAGTGTTTGTTTTTTTCTTTTTTTAATACTATACCTCTTTTACGTTTAGGTTAGTTTTTTATATAAGAGGAAAAAACCCTTGGTCCAGTCAGTTATTTAGATTTCTTATCTGTGGTAGCGCGCTGTCGGTGAAGCTACATGCTAATTTAGCCTAGCTAAAAATCTAGTTCTCTGTTGATTATAACCGATGTGAGCCGCCCTCTTTATTTATGTTATTACGATTTATATAATTAAACTTACCTTTTGGCTGGTGATTCAAAGTGTTGCTAAAACTGTCAGTCAAGTTAGGATTATCTGTTGCAAATCATTAAGGGCAAAAAAAACCAAAACTGCATCGTTTTTTGTTTTTTTTAGTTGCTAGCTACCATAACAAGCTAAACATGGCTACCTGCACAAGGTCATCTCTAGTTGGCGCATTAAAATATCTACAGTAGAAGTGAGAACTTTTAGTGTAAAGCCACTTTAATGTGAAATCATACAAAATGGTAACACCTCAAAATAATTGCAGTAGGATATTTGCTCTTCTGTAAAATTAAAACCAACAATTTACATTCACTGTGTTAGACACACAGCATAAGAGCTAAACAACAAACGGGAGTACACCTTTCATTCAAATATTTTATTTTTTAAATACTTCTTGTGCTGTTTCTGTTGACTAAATCAAACATCCTAAGCATAGAGGATAGCAGATTTCTGGAGTGATGTTCTGCCGTTCTTCACAGACTATTTTATTTCTGCTACTCTTTGCTGGAGGGCTTGTGTTGTTCTTTCTTACTATATAAAATATTCTAAAGGTGTTCAAGTCAGGTGACGTGCATTTCTAGGTCATCATTTTCTGTGTTTCCAAATTCATGTGAGATTTTGGCAGTGTGCTTTGAATTGTTATGGAATATTCCTCTTCTGCAGACTGGGAGTCTTCTTGTCATCCAGTATTTTGGTATATCCTCAAGCGTACACGATGCCGTCTCTAAATGTAGTTTCTCTTTTGCCCTAGTGCAGCCCCGTATCCCCACCTTCATGCACTCACTGTGGGACTCCTGACCGCGTTAACATTAAACATGCTGGACCACATCGAAGCTGAACAAATTCACCTTGGTCTCATCTGACCAAAGAATGTGCTCCTGGTATTCATTAGGCTTCTTTCTATGTCCTTAAGCAAAGTGTCATCTTGCAGTTTTGCTCAAAACAGTAAGCCAGGGTTGTTTTGTCGTTGGCTTTGACACTGTTGACATTATGCCTGTCTGAACTGCCACAGAAACCCGGATTTCTTAATGTGACAGCGTTGCTAAGTCTGTAGCATGTGACAGAACTAGATTGTGAAAGTAGCACACTGTCCCTCACTGGTCAGAGTTTTTTTTTAATGTAGGCTTTCTAAATAATTGATTTTATGTTGTTTATCGTAGGAAATACTCTGTGTGTGTACTTCCAGGTATTAGATATTGAGAGATGCAGTTTTGAATCATTGTACGATATTGCAGAGTGTTCTCTACTCTGTTGTATACTCTACGTCCAGAAACAGTTTTGCCATGTGCAAAACATTTGAACACCGGACAAGTTTGGACAAACAGATACCCTTTTGGTTAAGAAATAATAACAAAACAATTTTACTTAAAATAGTTTTTATTTTCTGTGAACCTAGCAGTAATATCTGCTAACAAACTGTTGAAACAGTAGTCTTTTGCAGCACTGTCAGGATTCACTAACATTTTAAAAGCAATGTTTTAAGTTTCTCAAATCTTTACTCTTAATTTTAATATTTCATGATGTGAGTCACACGTAGTTTTAAACCCTGTAGTTCGAGGCCTAAAGCACTCTTCTTCCAGCAAACAGAAGATGCACAGCTGTGGGCAGGACATGCAAAACAATAAACAATAAGGTAAAGCATTGACAGGTCACAGCTCATCATCAGACAAGTTTCTTGGCGACAAAGAAGTCTTTGAGTCGCTTCATCTGCCAGAACCCGACCGACAGCAGAACGGAGGTCTGCACTACGGCCCACCACAACACTTTACTGTTGGCGTCTTCGCTGACCTGTCGGAACGCCTCCTCCTTGTCCTGAATGACAGTAGACGACATTAAATCATGCTGTCAGTTACATGTTGTCAGGGATGTTTCAGTAGTGTTAGAATAGATGAAGCAATGATTTAGTTTTACTGGTGACAATAAATAGAATTCTGCTTTAGCTTTAGAGCCGTAGAAAGATAAAGACGCTTGAAGTGGCTCGCATCAGACATCCATGGACACATCATCATGGGTTTGTCAAGACAAGACAACTTACCCTCTGGTACGCCTGATGCCTGATGATGTACACCATCTGCTCTGCGAGGTGGCTGAGACTGTTCTGCAGACTCTCCATGTTGCTTTTGGCTCTCTCAGCCGTGGGGTCAACTGAGTGCTCTCCCATTTGAACATCCAAATGTAGCTTCTGTGCAGCAAAAGTAGAGAAAATGTTTGCATTTCTCAGTTGTTGTTTTGCTTCATTTTTCTGTCTGTTTGGAATACGTTTCCTCTGTGTGTGCCCACAGGACTTACCAGCTTTTCACCAGCAAAGACGGCAAACCTCGTGGAGTTAGTTTGGAAGCAAAGGTAGTGCAGACCGGAGGCATGAGCTGTGAAGGTGAATTTACCAAATTTTCCATAGCGTTTGGACAACAGAACCTAAAAAAGGCAGAGAAGACGGTATTTGGCTTACATTTTTTCAAATGGTTTCTTTTGGTTCTTGTTGGTTGGTCTAATGCCAAAGAAGAGGAAGCAATGCAGCCTTACACCAACAATAACTGGATGTAGCAGGCAGATTTTTATTTAAATTCATGTCCATTTATTGTTGGCTTTTAAAAACGTTGAATTGACCCTCTGAAAGAGACAATAATATTATTACACCAGTCATCCAAACCAAACTCAATGACATGATGTTAAATGCATGATGTCATTGAGTTTGGTTTGGATGCTCAAACCAGCCAACATGTTGTAATGTCCCATCACATGTGTTTGTGTGGCCCTGACATGCTGATAAACCATGTGAGCCACTGTGAGTCCTGTACCTCATAATTCGGGTCTTTGACTGTTGCAGTGACACCAAAGTGAGGGGAGTGGGTTGCAGACTTCTTGTCCCAAGGCTCCAGCAAAAAATAGCCTGATGGTAAAAGACATGTATACACAAAAATACCACACAATTGTTGTCAATGCCAGTGCTATGCTTGTTTACAAAAAAGATTGGACCTTAGAAGGGAATCAGATTATTGCGTGTTATATTGGGCTGTGAGCTCCATTATATTCAGTGTAACGTGTACATTTTTTGGTATGCTAGTGTCACCCAACTAGCCACGCTTTCCTGTTTGTGTAGGAGCAAATGTAGGGAATAACTGGAGATTATTATTATTGTTGCTAAAGCACACAGCAAATCAAGTTTCATAAACACACTACCCCTACTAAGGTTCAGCGTGGAGCTATGGAGCAGAAGTCAAGTAATAAATGGCTTGGACATGCTATCATAGAAGGTCATATAACATTACTGCATGATTCCATAATCATGTGGTGAATGACAATTATATGTACTTTAGTCATTCAAAGTCTAATTGCACATTTCTTGCTACAGTCGAGAACACAGAAGACACTCAGGAGCACGACTCCCTCTCCACCACTCACCCTTCACCAGCGTGTCTTCAGGAATCTCCTCGATGATGCATCTTTCCTCCAGTTCTCCGAGATCAAAATACATTGCTGCTGCCAACATCAGGTAACACTGGAAGAGAAAGCCAGTGCCACGCAAACCCATTTTAAGTCGGCAATGAGCGAGTCGATTACAATACACTTGATAGTGGCCAGATGTTTGGCTTGTAATTCCACTAGACTTTTTTTTTTTTGCAGATCTGCAATTTCGAACTCAGATTTCAGGTGTTTTTTGTAGACTAGCACCCATATCCCATAGCATGTATTTAAAGTGAAAGCCCATATGGGGCACAGTTCGAGTGTGAGAAACTCACAGGTGCTCCTTTGCGTGACGAGACATTCTGGTCATTTTGTGATTGGTCGACCCAGGAACCAATAGCAAAGCTGCTACGACAAATCTGCACTAGGTTGAGATTATTCAGCAGTGTCTCCTTTTCACACTAGATTAGATGTTTTTTTACTAAAATGGAAGTAGGAATAAGCATCATGACATTTGAAAAACATACACAGCAATTTCCACTGTTATTGTATGAAAAGGGTTTGATGAGTTTGGTCATGGGGTTTTTGAAATATACTGTCACTGCAGTAAAGTAGATGTGTTTCCATGCTGGAAATTAACGCCTATTCTTTGTTTACTTCACTACATTAAAAGAGATAGATGATAAGCAATACCCTGAAATAAATACCAAATCCAAGAAGGGTATGCACTGTAATCAGCCTTTAGGGAACTACAGGAGGATAATATTTATTAGCCAATATTGTATGTTGATTTCTGCCTGATCTTCAGTTTTTTTTTAACCTGAAAACCAGATCAAATGTCCCAGGAAATTGAGTGGGAAACGTAACTCAAACCATCACATACAATAGCTGCCATATGTTTACCTTCGATGAGGTCACTTGAACTCCCACACACAGAATAAACCCTTCTCACATTGAGCATCTGCAAAAGTTGTCATCTCTAAAGTAAGCAAAGAGTCAGATTTCCGTCTCCTCCCACACTTCAGTAGTTTCACAGAAAGTGTCAGTAATGCCTTTCATTAAAATGGTAGATTAAGCTTTAAAGTACTGTGGATTTATATGGTGTCCGCTCTAATTCTCTTGATATTTAATGCAGAGCCTCTCGTGTTATACACTTTAATTAAAAACCTGCAGTTTATTGCGAACCACCATTCTGCCACCTATCGCTCCAACACAGTATTTTCTTCTGCCACCGGGAAAGCATTTTGTTCCCGTACTTGCAAGAGTATTGATCTTGTTGCTTGTATTTTGTAAACACTGTTGAATAAGGGACTTATTTTACAAGTTTTCACCTCTTTAATCATTTACCTTGACGAAACAAATAACTATTATTATAATTAATAATAACTATTATTATATTATTATATATTATTACTATTATTACTGATGTTGTGTTGGTGTTGTGTTGTTGTTGCTAGTACAATTTCCCTGAGGTTTCCACCAAAGGGATCAATAAAGTTCTATTCTGTTCTATTCTACTAGAAACCTGGGACTGTATGACAGTACAATCCCACATTTTATGTGCACCTCATAATGTATTCTTCGTCATATACTGTCATATGTTGGACATTTACTCTTGTCTCTCATACTTGCTTAGTGAAACTACTGTTAAGAAAAGCCAGAAACTGAGTCTGCTTTCTCTTGCTTCTCCTGATTCTTTATCCAAGTAATTTTCCTCTCCCTCGTCATTCAGACTGGAGGGACGTCACTCATGTACCAGATGTTTCGTTCTTATTGCCATTCAGTCTGTCACCTGCAGTATAGTTTCAGTGATGGCTTGGTTGAAAGGGAGGTTTATGGGTATTTTTTTTACATATTTAAACGAATGTTCACTTTTGTCTTCACCTGCCCTGAAGGTGTTTGTCTATAGGAGAGTGTTTTTAGTGCTTTTATTTTCTACATTGGGACGGATATGGCATTACAGTGTGTTACTTGCGGCAGTGGATGCCACAGCATCAAGTCAGCTCTTTCAGGTTTCAGGCCATTTGATCTAACCATTTGGTGAACTCTTTTAAATAGTTGGGGAGCACCTTTACTCATTTTATGACCAACACTTCATCAGGGCGAATCCCATCCAAAACTTGAAACGTGAACTGGCTCCATCCAGTTAAAGGTTTATTCTCTACACTCAATTTGATCCCGAAGCCCCAGTATTAGCCGTAATACCTTGGGAGCGCAAATCAAAGTGGGCCCAAATGTGTGGTTTAGATTTAGAGGTGATACACGGCATTGAACGGAGGCACGAAAGAAGGAAGTTTATTCAATTAGCAATCAATGTAGTAATTCTAGGAATCAATTAAAGTCATACAGTAAAGCTGTAAACATACTTTTGTCCCATTTTTCAGGATCTCTTTCTGGAAGAAAAAAGTCATCACTGAGTTCGCAATATCTTTAGTTATATTTACATTTTATTGACTCTTACAGAAACATACATACATTTTTTTGTACATTCGTACTATTTTTTTCAATTTTCTTTACAAAAAAACTTATTTTCTGTGTTGAATTAATGTCTCAATAGCATAAAGGAATACAATTTTTTACTTTCAGATTTCATATACTGTACACTACAGGTTAAAATCCTGTCAATAAATATATTCTTTTTCTTCAGGAAAACAACCACAATGTGTCTGTAAACATGTTTTTTTAATGCGACATTGTCTAGGAGACTGTGCAAGCGCTACTTCTGCTCCTAGAACTACTGAGGCATCGTGTTTTCCTCAATTCCCAGTCCGATATTATATGAATTTTCTGTTAAGAATTTCTTGGAGATCAAGATTTTAGATCTCAAGCGTTATTGATTTGGATGCATTTCCAAATCCTCGTGATAAAAGCTAATGGGAGTTGTAATCCACTGTGGGCAAACAAATGTCTGTGATCTTTAACCAAAACCCAATTACAGTGCGAACATGTGTTTCCATTTAATGGCCTTGTTCAAAACAGCATTGTTCTATCTCCAGACAGTTTTGATAATCTGCCAAAACAGAATTGGTGTCTAATAGCTATTCTGCCAAACTACACCTCTCTTGTACTGTCAGATCTATCAGTATGACTTGGAAGATGAGATTTTTTTTAAACTTTGCAGTCAGACTCCCCCAATTTAACAGTCAAACAATCAATCAATACATGAGTCAATTCCAGAGAAAGAGGCCAGGGAGAAGAGACGGAATTTAGTTCGTCATAGTTATGCCTCATGTGAATACATCGCAGACCTTTTGCTGTTCTTCGTCCGTCTTCGTCCCTTCCTTCCTTTCCTGGCTTTCCTCTCTTTTTTCTCTCTCCTCTCCTTCCTCTCTTTCTTCTCCCTCCTTTCCTGGCCTAGTCATAAACAGTTGTCCGGGAAGCACTTCCTGTCTTCCTCCAGCAGGGGGCAGGCTGCTCCATTGTTGGCCGGGTGCATCAGGATGTAGCGAGTGCGGTGCTGCACACCTGAGTCTCCACACTTGCCTTTGCACAAGCCCCAGGGAGACCACACTGACACTTCACAGTCCAGAGGGGTGTCTGCACAGAGAGGGGGTGAATAATAGTCACGTTTAAGTTTGGATTGTTGTTTTTTAAGTCAGTGCTTTCTATCTCGGGCACTTACTTTCTTTTTAAAAATATTTTATTTCTTCTTTGGAGGTGGGAAATTTGTGAGTGGTGTCCGTTAGTTATGTGAAATATCAAGGAGGGGAATACTGTATGTCATTATTGGGAAAACCTTTCCATTTAAAAGGCAAACGCAATAATAAAAGGGAATAAATGTTGGCATGCTTTGTGTGCGGCTCTCTATGAACTCATCGCTTCTCGTTATAGATTCTTGGCCGCGCTCGTGCTGCTGGAGTTACTTTTAATTATATTTAGCCTTCATTTATTGAGAGAGTTTTTGCTGACTGTGCTTGCTCTTTCTCAGTAGGATACTTGTTCCCAGTAAACAGTGCAACTACTTAACGAGTCCTCTGCAACAGATAACGAAAGAGGACCTTGCTAAGAGAAACCTCAGTTGTAATTTAGGGAAAGAGGGCTGCCTGTATCATTGCATGTTTTTTTTTTTCCAGCTAACAGAGTGGATAATGTAATCATTGAAGCTTTATGTTACATCATGCTCCTTCTCTCTCGCTTTCTCCAGCATTGTGAGCTGGCCCAGCTACCTCAGCCAACCTCGATGCGAGCTTACGTACAGCTGATTTGTATCACAGTCGTGGGTTAAAGAGTAGAAAAGCAGATGGGTGGGAGGCGGTACGGAAGCTGCATGGATGGACGGTCGGTTGAAGGGATTGAACATGCATGTCTGGTCACGGCTGACTTTAACATTTGCCTTTATTATGTGTGTCCATTAAACAAAGGGGATGATAATGGGGATAAAAAGCTGATTTATGGTCATTTTGCACCAGATTTGTGCTTCACAGATAAGATCCAGTGCAGGTGATCGCTAGTAATTAAAGAAAACTTTTGTTTAAGCTCCAAGGAGAAGGTACAAAGAGATGAAGGGATTATGGGATAGGGGAAGGATAAACAGATGGGGGGGGTGGGGGGATGGAGAACTGGGAACAGGGCAGGAAACCCCAACAGATTCCTGGCCAGTGTCTGTTGTTTGTTGATGTGTAGTCAGGGGAACAGGCTTGTAGTCTGTGATGCTGACTCAAACCTTTATAGTTACCCTCAACACTGCATCTGATTACCGCACCGTCAGCTCTTTTGCCGGGTCGACATGCTATCTTGTGCTGGTCAAGTCAGCTATTTAGACTTTGTGCGGTGAGTTGTGTTATTATAAAAGGTTAGTTTCCTTCCCAATCACATAGGAGAACATCTGTCACACAGACTGGTTTGTTTGACTTCTATATTGTTGGCTGTGCTTGGAGTTTGACATGCTCTTCATCTTTACTTTTTCCAGGATGTCTTCTTCTTCTTTCTTGCTTTTGGGCTTTTTTGTGTGTGTGTGTTATTACCGCTAATCTGTACAACAGGGAGTCTTAAATAGTCTGGGAGCCAACATTAAGTAAATCCAGCTTCACTTCATGGATTTCAGTCTTGTTAAAAACCTATGCGTCTGTGTCCCATTTGGTGTCATGACCTAAATGCTGCTGTAAATAATTTCTACTTGGTTTTCTT